CTGCAGAAGACCACACCTTCTGTCATATCATCATTTTTCTGTCTTGCCATTTTGTTGCATGCTGGTGTCACATTCCACTACGTCAGTATTTCTGGAGTGTGACAGGTGTGAAGCTGATTAGAGTTGGTTACGCTGGGCATTTCAGCTACTGAGAAAATTATGAGATTTAGTCAAACTTTTGGTTCTCAAAGAGGGCTCAGCATATTCCCTGAGAATGTGAAGTAGAAAACTTTGCTAAATGGAGTTAAAACCCAACCAAAACAAAACAAAAAAGGGACTCTACTGTACTATCTATACAGTAGCCCCCCAGTTTAAGAATTATATTCTCTGGAAAAAAAAGTCAGTTTTGACCCACGCACATGAGCATTTAAGATGGGTCCACAAAGTTCAAGAAAGCTACCCTGCTTCCAACAGTCTAAAGACTCCCTGCCTCAGCATCGTCCCAAGGAGGTGAAAACCACAACCAGTTACGTGCCTTCCCCTAAGGCAGGGTTGACATTTTAGAACAGATAATTCTTCATTACGGTAGGCTGTCCTTGCACTGTAGAATGTTTAGCAGCGTCCCTAGACTCACCCACCGATGCCAACAGCACTCCCCACCCCAGCTATGATAACCCAAAAAGTGCCAAGGCATTGCTCAGTGTCCCCTAGGGACAAAATCACTTCTGGTTGAAGACCACTGCCTTTCGGGGCCATTGAGACCGGTCCCAGCCTGCCTCTACATCCCTGAGCAGCACATCCTTTTCTGGGCTCATTGCCACACGCCCTCCCCCGCACCGGCTCTGTATGTCCCCCTAGTCTGACTCTTCTCCACCCTCTCCAACCCCCTCAGCCTCCCACTGGGAACGCATGAGCAGCCATCAGCAAACAGCCTCCACACCTTCATGGAATATTCCTTGCTCTAACCCTGGACTTAAGGATGCTGTTCCCTAACAGACTTCTCATATGGCGTGACGGGTTCTTCTCTCTTACCCACATACTCCTCTTTGCCAACTCCAAAACACTTCCCCTGCAACTTCCCTCAAGAAACGCAGCCCCTTAGAATATGGGTTGGCAAGCCTGTGGGCCAAATGTGGCCCACCACCTGTTTTGGTACAGTCTGTCAGCTAAGGATGATTTTCACATTTTTTTTAATGGCTGGGGGAAAAAAATCTAAAGAATATTTCATGACATGTAAAACTCCAATCTCAGTGTCCATAAATAAAGTCTCAGTGGAAGGCAGCCACACTCATTCTCTAGCCTGTTTTCTATGGCTGCTTTTATGCTACAAAAAAAGCATAAAAGCAGCCATAGTTGCAACAAAGACTGTCTGGGCTGCAAAGCTTAACATATTTATTACCTGGCCCTTGACAGAGAATATTTCCAACCCTTGACTTTGAGGAATGTGGGAGTCGTCTGTACCATCTACTTCCAAGCTGTTGTCACCATCCACTACCCGCCAGGTCACTCTTCCATGTGTATTAAAATGTACACATGACTGAAAGCTGGATGGCACAACTGCTAACATGAACGACTAAATGAAGTTCAAAATTACCTCTATGGGTTAGAATGTTGTGTGGAACTCAACAGGATGAAATTAAAATTTATATATTATAAAGTCCCATGCCAAGTTCATTGTCAGAAAGATGGATATACAGAGCAGCAAGAAGACCCAGTGTGTGTTGACAGAGGTAAGAACCAGGATGAATAGGGAAACATTATAGGGAAATTCTATCCATATAGTGAAAGGCTAAGCACCAACAGAGCTACCACATCATAGAGCAAATTTAGACCAGGTGACTTGACTAACAAGCCAAAAAGTCCAAAGATAGAATGGGGTGCCTCAGGGAGGAGAATGTCCGAGGCTGAGTGCACGGAAAGGCCTTCTGGTCTGGGCTTGACGACCCTGAAGACTTTTTAGTCCTAACATTATATACTATTACAATTTAAACAAGAGACACTGGCTCTTTTGATGATTAGATGCTAAAAATAACTTTCTTGGTAAAACAATGAAAGCACCAACATTTTTCTTCCAATCAGATCTGTAAATTTAATTGCAAAGGTGAAACTCACTATGGCACACATAGTCACAAGAGGTACTTTTAGGTGGCAGATGACCAATAAACTCATACCTTATTTGGTAAATGCTCACTGTGGACTTCTATTTCTTCAGAAGAGCAATGTGAGTTTTGAGGCTTACTCGTCCTTATTTAAGCACATAGCCTAGCTGGCCTAAGTCTGTAAGAAGACTGGGGGATTTTCTCCTGTTCGACTCTCCTTGATTTTTATATTAACCTGAACAAAAATACACATACATGGTATGTAAACAAATTCCCTGTCTAAAAAGTCAGAAGTACAAATCTCACTCATCTCACTCAATGACTATGTTTAGGAACGGTAGGGTGGCAAGTGGTTCTATACGATTCGGACATTGAGCAGCAAAGGCCAAAGACTCAGGTTTAACCCAGGGCTTAGTTCCCTAGTCCTAAGATTCATCACAAGGTACCAAGCCCCTGACTCTTTTCTCATCTGTAATGTGAGGGTAATGATACTTGTCCTGCCTGGATCCTACAGAGGACCATCATGAGAATCCAATTCAAGTGACAGAGAAGAACCGCCTGAGTGGAGAGTGCCATATACAGTTTAGGACAACATGAATCTCTACCCTGTAACATAGCTCTACCTTCTTTTCAGAAGTATTGGCATTAGTTGGGACACAGAGTAATACAATTCAGCCTAAAATTCTTCATATGTGACGTAGGCAGGCATGTTGCTACAAGTTAGCGGTAAGCAGGGCCGGAACGTTCGCACAGATGAAGAGTAATCTAGGTCAGGCATGTGTCTGTGTCTTTCAAGGTCTACGGGGAATAGAGCACAATGAACTTCTTGATTCTAAGGTAATGTTTGAGGCACAGATGCTGAGCAGGTGACTAAGCTATGCATGCAGGGATTGCTTCCCAATTTGCTTATCGTCACACTTTCCCTCTATCCTACTCCCACTTCTGCCAAAATTACGGTGTCATTTTGGGGCCACAGGGCAAAATCCCTCCAACAGGCTACATGGATGAAGCCACTTCATAATCACCAATCTGAAAACCTTTACCTTTCTTGGTAAGCTGGAAAGCGTATTTTTCTTAAACAAATGCTATGAAATTTACATTAAAGTAAAAATTTCATTAAAATGAAAAATCAGTCCTATTTGAAAACACTGAGGCAGGAACATTCAGAGGACCATCTGTGGCCTCCCGTTCCAGATCCCACCAAGCCCAGAGGCTCAAAACTGTGCCCAGGAAGGTCCACTCCACTGCTGTTACCTTTGCCAACATATCACAAGGTGTGGTCACCTGAACTCACAACACAGGGACCTTTGAAAAGCGTAAAAACAAGAAACAGAACAGAAACAAACATGACCCAAGTCAGACAGAGCAAAAGAACACCAAATGCTGCTAACAAGGCCTTCTAACTCCTACCTTCAGCCTCTTTGGTGGTTTTAAACCGATTTTTCAGCCCACTGTGTACACTTTCCTTAACTCTCTCCATGTTAATTCCTCAAGCTATTAGCCAGAGGCAGCACTACAGAGAGCTTCCAGGGCCCTCTGAGCACTGCCTGAGTTTCTTGAAGATCTTAGCTGACAAAGTACAATGTTCATAGTAGAGGTTCTCATTCCTCAGTCCGTTCAGAAGTTTTGGTCTTCTTTTCACTAAAATAGAGATTGCTATACACAGACTCTTAGAGACAGAAAAACCTGTAGATGGAGAGCTAGGTGATGGAGAAGGGTGTCAACATGGACCATGCCTTGCACATCACTCGCAGACCGATGTCCTCCTTCTCCTTCTGTAATAGGGGGCACCCAAAGGCCTGGACCGGTTCATGTTCCAGTGATCCCATGAGTACCAGACTGCTCAAGTCACTTCTTGGTAGTGGTGGGGATGGGGTGGGTGTCCCCTTAGGGATAGAGCGGAAGGGACATATGTGGAGAGTGACAGACCTCACTATCTTAAGGTCACACCACTTATTCTGAGTTATATTCTTCTACACCAAGCAGCCTCCTGACCTACATTTGGCTCCCAGGTGGATCTCCATGATGGGGGGACAACGCTTCAGTCAAGTGATGTGAGCAGGGTTTCCGCCAGCAGCAGGAAGAGGTGCACTGGCAACCAGTGTATCTGTCAGCCTCAGTGGAGTTGGCTGGCATGGACTGGTCCACAGAGTCCCACCATCCTAGTGAACTGAGAGCATCCATTTGGGAAGATATAACTGGACCCAGGCCCCGGAGCAGCATGGCCATCCTTTTGCTGCACCTCTGTTTTATGGAACCACTTCTGAGCTCTTATAGATTTTGTCAAATTTTATATTTTGGACATACATAATTTCTCATGGGACTGTCAATCTATTTCTTTTTATGTCCTTGTCTTCATTCTTACCTTCTCCCTGCCCAGATGGGAGGGTCACAGGAATGGAGATCATACCTTTTCTATGTATATGTCTTCACGGTTTCAAACAGTCCTGGCCTATAACAGACACTTAATAAAAAAGTATGCTGCATGACTGACTGAATGAATGATGGCATCAGTATTTACTGAAGTTATATGAAAGCACATATTTGTTCCATTTAACTCAACCTCAACCATGTATTATCATGAGTACCTCAGACTCTATCGATCTCGCATTCGTGTGGTGGCATACCATTTATTTCTAGGCCAAAGTTTTGTGTTTTGGATTCTTTTCTAGTTGATAAAGCACAGCATTTCTACACAGGTATTAACTGAGATGCTAAATAATATGAAAACACAAGTGGGTGAAGATGAGTTCACGGCGTTAGTAAGACCAAGTCTACGCATGTCACCAGGGCCACCTTGCCCCTGGGAAGTTCCGGGGTAATTAGGGGTGATGGTTTAATGGTAGAGAGGAGGCAGGGCGCAGGAGAGGCGGGGATGGTCAAGGGCACCGGTGGGGTTGTGGCCTCCCTCCCTCTTTCCGGCATCCTTGCGCCCCTCTCCGCGGCTGGGTTAATACTTACTTTTCACGGAGATCTCGCACTTGACTGGCCTTGAAGTCGGGAGCCGACGGGGAGCAGGGGCTGGACGGAGGCGACAGAGGACTCTTGATGCTCTGCACCGAGTGCCTGCGGCTCCGCCTGCGATCCACGCCCTGGTGCTCGCTGCCCGTGCCGGAACACACACTGGCCCTCCTCCGGTCCCGGCACCCGCTGGGGGGTGGTTCAGCCGTCTCGTCGCCATCCTCGAGCCTGAGTGCCACCTGGAAAAGCAGAGAGCGCCCAGCGCGAGCTCAGACCTGACAGCCTTTCACAGTCCCGCCCCAATGAGCACTCTGCGCCGTGTCTTCCCATCCTGTGGCTGCGGCTTCTCCACAAGGTCATCACAACCACACGCATCCTAAAGCGCCACCTGCAAACCAAAAGATGCTCGCCACTGTGAGATTTTCCCAAACGGATACAAAAAGGTCAACTGATGTCACGAGAAGACCTGAGAAATATTTTGTGATTAGATGGGCTCTTCACTCTGCGGCCCAGCACTGCCCTTTCCGAGGTCATCTCTCGTGCGCGCCCCCCGCCCCGCCCCGCCCCCACCGCCTTTGCTCTTCCCTGGTCCAGGAGGCGGAGTCTCTCCTGACGCCCAACGCCAGCCGGAAGCCCCGGAGGTCCTGAAAGTTGCGGAGCTCGCCTTCCCAGCGAGGCTGTTCAGAAGAGCACAGCAAGGAGAAAGGCGGGAGCCACAAACGAGGTGAGCCGAACGGCCTCACCTGCAGGTCTTTTGAGAGGTCTGACTTTAGATCCCCGCGCACCGCGGCTCTCAGGGAACCCTCTGCAGCCTGGTCTCAGGAGCCTGCTTGTACTTGCGGTCGCAAAAATAGAGACCAGAAATACACTGGACCTCTAGAATTACGTTTTTTAAAAAAAATTTCCTCTTAAAAGCACTTACACTAGGAGCCCTGCTTCTAGTTGGGTGGTACCCTGTCCAAAGGCCCAGCTCGGCCCTCTCCTAATCTCCTCTATCCTGGACCCTACTCCATGGCTCTCTCAGCTCACATTAACGCCCACCATCTCTATGCATACGCTTCTCTTTATTGGAGCTCACTCTTCTCAACCATGGGTTACACCTATCTGTATCTCCAGCTTCTTTAATTATTTTTATACCTACCTTCTCAAACACTACACGGTCAGACGAGCACAAGTTATCGTTGACTAGACCTCTGTGTGGCTGCCTGGGCCACTAGTGGACCAAGGGTGACCTGCAGCAAATTGCTTGCCTGAGAGCCTCTCTCTCGGCAAATGAGGCTAAGAGGATTGCATTTTCAGGTTTTTGGTAAGAAAACTTATCTAACATATATAAAGCAGCTAGGGTAGGGCTTTCCCTGTGGCTAGTACTCAATTAATATGACCATTCTTCCCCAACATAGGCCCTCGGATGAAGGGGCCTAGGATGCCCACAAATTCCTCCATCACACAGAACTGGCAGGTCAGGCCACCTCGCACACCAGGTGGGCCAGGCCAAAGCAAGTCCAGCAGTCTCTCTGATGTGGCACCCAAGGACCCACATGGTCCCCCGACCCCAAAGGTGCATATTTTCCAGCCTTGTGTGTGCTCTTGGTCACATTTCACAACGTGGTCCTGACAAGTGAGAGAATGGAGAAGTAATATAAAGACCCAGATGACTAACCATGCTATTTGGCTTTGACATCACCTGTCTACATAAAACCTGGCTACGGCAAAATCAGTGGCCTCCTCTGTCCAAAGCACTGATGCCAACTGTGTTCACACAGCAAGGTGAGCTTGGCTTAGTCAGGGCCAGATTGGCCACTCTCATCCCGTTCACGAGAATGGACACCTGAGATGCACGGCCTGTTTCTCAGGAGTGCAGCCTCCCTTGATCTGCTCCATCTCCAGTTTCCTCCAGTTCTAGCTTTTGGGTGAGACTGATTCAGTGAAAACTCTTCTGTCTACATGCCAGATACATTCTGTAACAAACTCCCAGATAGATGAAGACAATTTAATAATATTTTGACTATTCTGTTCCCTTAGAATTTACAAGTCAGACATAATTTGGGGAGGTTTGAGGTAAGAATTGATAAGAGTTCAGAAAAAGCTCTATTGTTACAAAATCTCACTGGAAAGTCTGTTTCCTGGGGGAGGGGGGTGCGGCACAGGGGGGTCTGCGGTATAACTGCAAGAACTAAGAAAGAAGTTATGTATTTGGTTAACCACTTTTATCATCTCAACTTTAGCACTTTAAATGGCATTCTCTGGGGAAAGTTTGAGAATGATTATACACCTAACCAAGGAGAGTATTTTAAAATATTACTAGCCAATTATTTTTTCTTCATTTTTAGATGTACAAATTCTAGACCATTTGAACTTATGCTGACCTGAAGTATTGATTCTGCTTCTAATTAAGCACACATTTGGAATGATAAGATTAGGGGATAAAGTAGAGTTCAGATATTTCTAATTCCTTGCCTAACCTCAGAGATGCAAGGATCAAATAGCATTCCACTCACAGTGCCTTTCAGAGAAGTACACGGAGTGTGCACAAAGTGAAATCTACTTTAACTGCCTTTTGTCAAGGAAGATGGAGACAATCAGAAAGTTTACATGAAAAGTCTTGAAAGATTATCAAAATGACACCATAAAAGGGAGTTCAATGAGGGCTGTCTAAAGTTCAGATCCTCAACAAAACATCCAACCCCTTAAACAAAGAAAAGGGTGCATGAGGGCGGAGGGTAAATGGGGCTCAGAATCCCAGGAGATCCAATGGCAGTCTCGAGCTTAGCAGTCAGGAATCCTGTAACATGAAATTTGGGGCTGGTCTTCACTCCTGGTTTTGTTTTTACAAGAAGAATTTTAGAATCACCAGTGTCCACTGATGATAGGAAGAGAGACGCACTTTCACGTACAGGGCCTTGATGGCAGTTCCAAATTCTTCAGATACTAGGGAGCACTATGGATTAGAGTCAAGTCCACTAAGGGCTGGAAAACACCTGGAGAGAACAGCACTTATCAAGAGACTTATTCAGAATCTGTGGTGTCAGATCTAATTAACTACAAGTTCAGTGTCCTCCATGGGACCCAAGGTGAGATCAACCATGTCCTGAACAATCTCTAATCTCACCCAAATGATGGAGTGTTTTGTTTGCTGGACCCCTCGTCAGATACCTTCTGACTCTTTTAATCAAATGTAGAACACGGGCTTCTCTGGTGGCGCAGTGGTTGAGAGTCCGCCTGCCGATGCAGGGGACACGGGTTCGTGCTCCGGTCTGGTTAGATCGCACATGCCGCGGAGCGGCTGGGCCCGTGAGCCATGGCCGTTGAGCCTGCGCATCCAGAGCCTGTGCTCCACAACGGGAGAGGCCACAACAGTGAGAGGCCTGCGTACCGCAAAAAAAAAAAAAAAAAAAAAAAATGTAGAACACTGTCTATAAAACCAAGATGAGGAGCAAGCAGGTTCCTCAGCCAGCACTGATTGCTTGCACATCCCACCCCATCTTATCAAGAAAGCTGTGAGGAGCGGACTAAGGTGGCATCTGTGACAACTTCCACCAGTCTTTGAGGCCACTGAACGATCTAAACATTCTTTTTAAATTTTTGTGGAAATTTTCAAACATATACAAAGACTTTCGTGCTCATCACCTATGACAGTTCAACAACTATCGACCCTGGCCAATCTTGCCTCATTTACTCCCTGCCACCAACCCCACAGCCAGATTTTTTTTTTTTTTTTTGCGGTACGCGGGCCTCTCACTGTTGTGGCCTCTCCTCTTGCAGAGCACAGTCTCCGGATGCGCAGGTTCAGCGGCCATGGCTCACGGGCCCAGCCGCTCCGCGGCATGTGGGATCTTCCCGGACCGGGGCACGAACCCGTGTCCCCTGCATCGGCAGGCGGACTCTCAACCACCGCGCCACCAGGGAAGCCCAGCCAGATTTTTTTGAGATAAATCCCAGATCATATAATTTCACTCATTAATATTTCGGTATATATCCCTAGAAGATAAGGATTTTTAAAACCCATAACCACATACCACTGTCCTGCTTAAAATAATTTCTTAGTATCATCAAACATTGAACAATCTGACCGTTCTTAATGGAGGTCAAAATCTATTAACATTTCTTTGAGTTTACGTTGTTATACTACTACTAACCTCCATGACAGGCAGCCATCTTTACACAGCAGATGTTACCATTTTCCAAATTGCTATCCCACATTTTCTTTTTAATTCATACCTATACATCCTGACTCAGCTTTTAGGTGACGTGGATGCCAGTGCTAGTACCATTTCAAGAAGCAACTATGCTGATGACAGCTTGTGGTAGATGATTATAGCCCTAGGTTCCCGGGGAATCGTGCCTCTCTGTTTCCTTATCCTTGTGTAGCCCTCTCCTACAACGAGTCAACAATTTTCCATGTGACTTGCTTTGGCCAGTGGAGCGTCAGAAGACATAGATGCCTCAGAAGTGTTTGCGCTTTGAGACTTGTCCTTCTGAAATGCTGCTACACGTGAAGAAGTTCAGGCTAGTCCGCTGAAGACATATGGCCCAGCCAACAGCAGCACCAAATGCCAAACCAGGTGAATGAGACCATCTTAGACCATTCAGCCCCAGTCAAGCCATCAGATAACTGTAGCTCCCTGAGAATCTTTCAGGTGAACCAGGCCCAAATCTCTGACCCACAGAATTATAAGCAATAATTGCTGTTTTAAGACCACTCTTTTTGGCATATTTGTTATACAGCAAGAGCTAACTGATACACATTTTTAAAACCACCTATGACAAAGGAAGAATTTTAAGAGATTGGATCTATAAGTTATTTATTCCTGACAGTAACAGTCACCCCCTTACCCCCAAAGTCTTCATCCCTAAGATGCCTTTGCCATTACTAGGACCACATTTTCAGAATCAAAAGCTAGAACACAATCTGACAAAAGACTTTTTATTTTGATTCGTGAATTTATGTATTTGAAAAATCATTCAAAGTTATAAAAATTCAAATGAATTTAATTAAACATGGATTAAATCACCTTTCTAAAATGGAATTAAATTACATGGAATTCGGCATTCCCCAGAAAGTCCAGGACATATGGTCACCAGACATCCTCCACTATTAAGAAGAATTCTAGAAACCCTACCAAGGTCTCTACAATGGCTTGAAAACATTCATAGTCTATTGTGAGGAAAATATTGGCACTGCTTATAGGCCTCCCTGCTGCCCTTGCATATAATGAACTTAGTTGTCCTGTGGCACTAA